GGGGTTATATATTTGGTTGCTTCATGCGATAAAATTTGATTTATTGTCTGTGAGGTTTCTTAATAAGTAGCCAAACTAAAGGTAAAGGTAACTTATGATGAGTTACCCAGATCACTGGATTTGGCAAAGGAGTTTCTGCAGATGGAAGAGTTGTACCGTGCAGTCCTAATGGTACCTCCAAAGACCAGATTGGAAATTGGTGGGTAAACTGATATAGCATTGCCTGGAAGAGTTCCAAAGGCAGAGATAATTCATGTTCTAGCTTGGCAGTAGGAGTTAAAACAAAGAAATACAAAAGAGGCCAGGTGCAGAGCAGTGAAATATTACAATCAGGTAAATTCAGATATATGAAAACAGCTTGAGCATGAGGAGATAATTAATAAATTTGAAGATGGAATTCCAAAAGGAAAAAAAAGGAAAGAAAATGAAATTGAAATTGAAAAGAATGGAAATGAGAAACCAGATATGAATTGGAAAGAGAAGAGAAAGTAAAGGAATATGAATATCACTGTAAAATGACGCATTTAAAACAGGAGATGTCAAATACTGAAGCAGGCAGCTACATGGACAGCTCACACTGAAGTTGAGGCAGAGGGCGTTCCAAAGTGTTATTGTATTGAAAGTGAAGTTCTGATGAGGAAGTGGAGACATCTCAACAAACCTGTGGGTGAACACGAACAGGATGTAGTTTATTGCATGATAGTAATCAGGTGCAATTTACTTTAGTAAGAACAACATTGTTATTAAGATAATTAGGATAATAGGTTTATTCCCTTCAAGATCCTAAGACATTCTACCTTTCCCTAACTGATTAGACTGGATGGAGTTTAATGCAGTCTGCAGCTGTAACTCTTTCAGAACCATTACCTTATACAAAATGGCCAACCTAGATAATTTTGCATCACTTCTGATTATTTATTACTGTCTAGTTAATCACTTTCTTTTAATGTTCATTTATGTCTTTATTTTGGGTTAAGTGAGACAGTTGGTAGTGATTAGTCATCTGTAAACAAATAATAGGGAATAGGTTTGTTTCCCAGCCAATGCATGACAAACCTTAAGGGACTGTTCTGGTGCAGAGGTAGTGGCCTTACCTCTGAGTCAGAAGATCTGGATTCAAGTCCCACCTTCTATGTAGATATGAGGTCGAACAGGTTGAATTTTATTTATATTTGAAAAGGATGATTAAAAATATTTCTAAGTAAGAAATAGCTGTGACATTGGATCTGGGAATGAAAGGAATAAGAGAGAATAAGTCATTTACCTGTCTCTACAAAAGATGTGTCTACCAGCCTTAATCATGCCAATTAGCTTGTGTTCTACTAATATGATGTTAGTTAATGGATTCTTCTCAATAATCAGCTACAAATTCTTTAATATTAATTTTACCTTGCTGCAGTATGCAATCCAAAAGTGAAATACTGAGATCTTTCTTAGTGCAATTCTACTCTCTTACCTCTCTCAGGAGCTACACATCAGATCATTGAATGTACTCTCTTGGCAGAAATAGATGCGCCTGTTCTAACTTTAATCTTGCTTTGCAAAACCATTGCATCACCTGTACAACTACCCACAACTCTCCGCAAGACCTTTTTGAAATTTGGAACATTCTTACAAGATTTATGATTTTGAACTACTGTTGTTTAAAGAGAATAATTGAACAGAATACATAACAATATTAAGTATGCATACTTGTTATATCTCTGATTTCATTGAGCAAATATTTACACTGATATAGCTGGTTCTTGAACATATATTTCGCAGTTGTTACCAGTGGGTTTGACCTGTTTCCCAGCTCATCTGAGGGCACAAGATTGTTTCCTATTGGAAAGAATATAGACCTTTGCAGGCAATTACCTCCCAAAATGAGAAGAATTGCACAACTGTCTCAAATAAGATTCAGATGTTTATCTTAAAAGTTAAGTACTGACTATACAGTATAAACCTCTACAGGATTTTGCTTAACATTGATCGTCAGAAGAGTTACTTTATTGCTGGTGATCAGATTCAGCAGATTTAATATGCAGACATATGGACACTATAAGTTAACTGATAGCATCCCAACATGACAATTTGTTGGTAATTGAATTTCTAATCACTTTAATGTGTCTCCCTTGCATGATCATTGTCAGCATAACTGCCCTGATAGTTTTGTTGATTTTACCCACTAATCTAAATGAGGAAACAGAGTCATATAGACCAGAAAGTGCTAGGTTCAATCTGGCAACTTGTACAAAATTAGCTGATCTCAGCTATAGAGTAGTGAAGGCCCTTCAATTTGAATCAGTGCCATTGAGCTAGACAAGAGAGGGAAATAGTGTTCATGAAAGATTCGCATTTCTGATCAATTAGTCCTGGTTACAAAGGTATGTGTGTGTGCAGAAGGTGAGGATAGGGTTTAGCTCAGCTGTGATTTCTCTCTATCACTCAGTTGCAAGGCCACCAACAATCACTGTTTTAGCTCACAGTGAGGAGTTGCCATTTGGGCCTGTAGGTGATAGGTATGAAATTACAGGTCAACAATGCACATCTCCAGAAAAGAGAAATGGGCTGACAAATAGAAAAACACACTGCGCTAATGACTGTATCTGACTTCGACTTGTTTTTACATAAATTGTATTTTCAGGCATTATCGTGGAACTAAACACTTTTACTTTCAGGCACCTAGTGCCAGCTTCAAGCAGTAAAGCTCATTCCACGCTGGCCTAGCATTGTGCTTTCAAATATAAAACAGCTTCTCTTATTGAATCCATTTAATAAATAGAACAATTTTCCATTTCCCACATCAGCCATTCTGTGGCGCCTCTGACTAAGGTTGCTAATGAAGCCAATTATTAGAGTATTCTGATGTTGGCCTAAACACACTGGAAACTGGATGGAGATTGTTCAAGCTTATTTTATAAAGGATCTTCTATGCCCAGATTCACAGAATCGTTACAGTGCAGAAGACCCTTTGGCCCACTGTGTCTCTGCTGATTCTTCAAATGAGCTTCTTGTTTGGTGAAATTAGTAAGTATCTAAAGTGCATTACCCTGCGCCATAAACTGATTCAAACAGCTTCATTGGACCCGAGCTTTAATTCAGAGCCCAGAATTGAAAGCACAGTGTTTACCCAATGCACTTGTAAAATTGTGATTGAGAAGGAATGTAAGCTGCTCCAAGGGTATACACACGACAAGTTTGTAAGGATATGAAGTTTTGGGACTTTATCTTTAAATTCAGGGTAATTGAAAGTGGTCATGTAACCTGTTTTGCATTCTATCTGACAATAAACCTGGATATTTTAATTGTTAGGGAAAGGAAAGCTTAGGTTGTTTTACTGAGAAGAGGGTGCAAAGTATTTGAACTTTGAGACAATATAAAGGACTTTGAGTTTACCATGAATACTTGAATTTCCCAAATTCCCAAAAATGTATTCTTACAATCAGTTTGTTAACAATTGTGTGGCAGACTTTCCAGTTTCTTTCAAGGATGAACAGGAATTTGAATCAAAGGTAGCTAATTAGAATTTTTACCTTGATGTGCTTCATGTTACCCTGGGAAAAAGCCACTTTTGAGAACAGGTTACAGGCTTCTCTATAAAAGAATGAATATCACAGACAGTATTGTGATTTGAAGTCTTAGAGCAAGAGATAAAGGTAATCAGTCTTCTACCTGAACCGGAGAAAATGCTGATTCTATATTCACCATGCAGAATGTGTTTGGGAACTTGTGCTCAGGTTAAAGAGGCTGAGTATGTGGGGATTTAAAGGTGCATGGAAGATTCATTCAGTTTGGGCTAGAAAGAAGGGATTTCCACTTTAACCCTCACAGAGAAAGTCAGTCCTCACATTAGAAGTTACCAAACTGGAGAAGTAAAAAGTAACCCATGTGAAGCCTGAAGAACGCTGGACTGTTTGCTAAAAGAACTGTAATTCATAGGGAGTGTGAGGTATGATAATTATTAAAGAGGCATGCTCTTTTCTGTAATTTATCATATAATTTGCCTACAAAAAGAAAATATTTTTGTATATTTTAATCGGTTGTTCCAATAAATTTTAAAACATGAAATTTTGACAAATCATCCTTTTAGCTAAAAGCTTGAACTTCTTTTTAAACGTTATTGATCTCTACGTGGACAACACAGTCCATTAGGATTATTGCAATACTGTTAATTCAGCGCTTCATTGTGATGAGTTCAGTAACTTCTTCAAAGCAACACATTGGTAGAGATATAATCATTAGTACAATTAATTCAGCTATCTCAAGTAATCGGGCTCAATAAAGATGCTTTTAGTGTACTTAAATAGAGATGGCCCCAGATACAAGGATATTACGTAAATATAGACTAACTGGTTTCCAGATCAATGCCAACAGCAAAGGGATGTACCAATTTGTGAATCTCCTTACTTGCCAGTAGAATTCCTTCCTTCACTTCTGAAATAAGCTGCCACAGTTTTATGGAGCCACATGCATCTATCGTTGCCTGGGTTTCCCTCTACTATCATGTTTTTGTTCTCCTAAACAGGCTTGATAGGCATCCATTGAGATTCAGCACACACACAGTACAGGTAAACGGGCAACACAGAACTGAAAGTAGAAATAAGAGATTTGTTTAGCCAGGATCATTTTAATTCTGCTCAGCTTGTGCTACTGGTGGAATGCTGTGCAGGTTCAGGTCCATCACATGATGATAACTTAACATTTCCTTTGAAACACCTTCTTCAAAAACATAAGAATTATACCTGAAATATTAAAGTTGGTCAAAATTCTTTTATTTCTAACTGTTCTGATGACTGCTCCATCCTTATCATCAGGATAGAAGAGTTTAGTTTATCTTGACTGGAAGCTTTATAGTTTCTCATACCATCCACTGGCACAAATGAAGAAAAATCCAGTCCTGTTGAGAAATTCCATTGCTGGTTTTCCACAGCAAAGCTGGGCTCAGTGTGTATGAATCAGGCTGGCAGAGCTGCAGAGAGCTCCTCAGTAATTCTGTTTGACAGTGATGTAGATGTACAGGTACAAATGTTTGTGAGCGAACCATCTGCTGCTACTGCTGTTTCTCAACGGAAGCCGCACTGAATTTTCTTGGTCATGCTTCAGGAGAGAACGTATCACCTTAACTGACCAAAATTAAAAAGGTAAGGGGGCTTTTATACCATGACTAAGGAATGCCGAGCTATTTCCTTGTGTTTGTAAATATACTGTGATTGTGAGAAATCTATTGAAATTTGTCTGGGAAGCTATTGCACATAAATACTTACCTGGTAATTTGTTTGAATTAATTTGAGTCTTTTAGTTTAAAATCTGAAAGATCTACATTTACTTAGGTTAAAGAGTCATACCAGTAATAAGATACTTCCCTAGTCAGTTCCTTCTTGTACATATGACATGGGTTATTGTAAATTTTTATTCCTTTTGTCAGACAAATAAGCTGCATGAATTTACAGTAACCTCCCAAAGACGGCAACAGCTCCTTAGTATAAGGCAAATAAAAATCTTTCACGTGTTGCAATTAGGGCATTGTCCTGAGCTTGTTGACTCTTAGGACTGGCTGAATACCACATTTGCTTAGTCGGTGTGGTCAGGAATTGGTGTTCCACCTATTTAGTGGGAACTGAACTCAGAGGAGGAAGAAGTGGGAGGATAGGGAGTGGGTGGTAGTAGGAAAAAGGCAGGTGCCAGTGACCTTTTAAAGACAAGGTTGATCTCATGTATATTGAGTCCAGTACCACATTACACAGCACACTGAACCTTTTCAATTTCCACTTCACATAGTGAAAAAGCTTTGACGGCCGTAATAAGTGTGCCACTGTCACATGCCAGTTTTAACAGAAACTCCTGATCTTGGTCTACATCAGTCTCCTTCCCTGGAACAAAGAGCAGCTTTTGACTGGTCAGAATTAGAAAAATTAGTGGAATTATTGTAGATGATTCTGGACTAAATTTTTTGAAGCCAACAAACAGAACCTAGTAGCATGATTTAGACAGAAACATTAGAATGTCTAAATAGTTACTATAGCAACAGCATCGGATTGTTCAAGATGGTGGAGTTGTGGACATTGCTGCCCTCTTTATTGCAAAGTTGACCTCTGATTCAGAAAAAAGGATCATTATTTGGAAAGTAGTGTCTGAAGATCATGAATTTCCATAACATGGAGAGATAACAAAGTGTAAATATAGAATTTGACTCCCCTTTAGAAATGAGAAAGATCAGTGTGAAGATGAAGAACAAATTGGAATTTTCTGAACTCTGTGCTGAGGGAGGAGAGTCCATCAGAGAACTCCAAACAAAACCTTCTGTCTAACTTTTCCTCATTAGCAATTTGTTGATATGCTATAAGTTTTTCCTTTCTCTTACAAGCTGTAAGCCGAATTCTTCCAATACAAGATCAGGAGCTATGGAAAAATATTAAAAATTGAATCGCTGAATGTATTTCCATCTGTTCTTCATACTAGTGAAGTATTGTCAATTGTCAAAACTATTTTCAATGATTGGCAAAATGGGATGGGCCATGAATTGTAATTATGTAAGTCACATGTCCACCAGGACATTTAAGACCAGGGTAGAGCTTAAATTGATGCAATTTTTGTTGCTGCAAGTACTGTATTCCCAGTATAGGTATGGGTCACGACTAACTTTTGGACAAGTTGTAAAAGTTTCTGAAGGTCTCTTAAAAATTGTCTTAAATAATTGCTTGTCAGCACAGAACTTAAGCATTGCTAAAAGGAGGCAAAAAGGTTAAAGCCTTTCATTTTGCACTCAGTCAGAAATATGAGTCAAGAAACAGACTTGAACAGAAGGGCACCATTTTATACAGTATGAGAAGAGTATGCTGATTGGCTGGGCCATCATTGGCATGGAGATGAGGAAGAACAGTTAACTGTCAGTCTTAATTCTCAGAACAAGCAAGTAGATTCTGGTTGGTCAGGGTGTTGTCATGGGGTGCAGCAAAGTTTAGCTGACTCTATGACCCCTTCAAATGAAAATGGTGCAATGTAATAAAAGTTCCTTTTGCCCACATAAGACAGGGTCCTATATATTTATGTATGTAACTTCTGGCATGTATAAATGCATCACACTGGAACTCTGATGATCTTGAATTGTTTTCTGATGTAATTCTTAGCACCATTTGGATTATTTAATAAATGATTTTCAACGTCAGAATCGTGTCCAATAGTGAATATACTTTCCCCATGTGTATATTGATCAGTGAACAGAGGCTTTCAGTAGAGAGTATTTTGTTTGTGCAGAATTCTTCAAACTTTAGTTTTGAAGTCAAAAGTTTCACTTCACAGGAATTCTCATCCAACTACAAGGCAAGTGTAGGGTGGGGGTAATGGGGGGAGGTTGGGGAGAGGCGTGCAGTTGGCAAATTAGAAGAATATATCTGTGTGGCCCCATCAGCATTATCTAATCCTTGCTTTGGGCAGATAAATAAGATACAGGACAGACTACTACACACTCTTTCATCCCGTAACGGTAGCAAAGGAAGCAAGTGGGAGAAAGGTGGGCATGGCGCTATCTCACACACTGGCAACAGGGGAGTAGCAGCAGTAGCTGCAGCCAGTGGCATGGTATCTGACCAGGAGTTGACAGATCCATCACAGAGGCAGGTGACAGAAAAGCAAGAGAGATCTCACAACAAATGTTTGTGAACTACCACTGCATGCCTAGACCATGAACATTAGCACCACAATTCTTCCTGGAGAGATCCACCCCAAGAAGACAGATTATTATTAGCAAGGCTGAATCTAGCGCTGTCACCATTTCGAGTTCACCATTGTCCACAGATTAACCTTGATGTCCTTTAAAATCTGGGCCTACATATTTGTGAGAACTGACAAATAACCAGAGTAGACTCACCTTCTGCCTATCAAAAGCCTTCTCACAATGTTCAAGTGACCATATGATATGAACTGAAACAATATGCATTGAAACTCAGAACCTGTTCTTGAATTTCTATTGGCTCATGAAATCTTAATAATTGGCAGGTCTAAGCTACATATGTGCTGGCCATACATAGGGACCACCATCGCCACGCCATGACAATAGTGTGACATCGACAACATGGAGTGCGGCAATTCAGAGTGTCCTTATCAACCCACGTTCTCCACCTCAAAAGCTTCTGTCACTTGGGAGATCTCAACATTCAAAGTGTCTTCCTCAAAGACACTTAACATTTTGACATGCAGAGCAGCCACTATGCCGTTGCTGTAGAACACTCGCGTACCTGACCGCCTTACACACAGCACTCAGTGAAACAACACCAGGTAGACTACATCTTCTCAAGAAGTCAGATCATCATGACTCTGCCTCATGCACCAATTGTCGGAATATTGTTAAGAGCTTTGAAGAGCTAGAGACATACAGGGGCACAAGGCTAGTGTTAACTGTTTATACTTATAGTGATGAACATAAACATGGCAGAGCAGGACTTTGTTGGTACCTTCTTTCATCAGGTCTGTGTGCCATGTGATCTGGCATCATGATGACATGCACATACACAGTAGTTATTACAGTATTGGTCCAATTAATTGCTACACTGTGTCTATGGGTCAACAACACATGCTGGAATGACTTTGTACATCTATATATCTTGGTTGACTGGTATCTTTTATCTGAACATCGGGATAAATACTCAGCCTTCCACCGGCAGCTATTCATTCGCACACACTTTGCATGTATTCAATCACTACGAGGTGGACTTCTGGTTCCAGTCTCCATTGTCTCTGCTAAGAACATGCTGCTTTCTGGTTACATAGTAATGGAAGCTATTCATGATCCATTGAAGAAAGTGCATGTATTTACAAGGTGCATGAATCTAACTACCAACATAATGATTGTAAATGACAGCACTTTGAACACATCAATGACTGAGTTGCCTTGGTGCCCCATACCAGCAAATATTCATCTCAGTGTTGCCTTAAATGAGGTGGAGGCATATTACTCCCTTCTCCTATTGAAGTCGGGTACAATTACAAAATTAAAAGGCATTTGGATGGGTGTATGAATAGGAAGGGTTGAGAGAGATATGGACCAAGTACTGATAAATGGGACTAGGTCAGATTTGGGATGTCTGTTTGGCATGGACAAGTTGGACTGAAGGGTCTGTGTCCATGCTGTATGACTCTATATACCTTGACTTGTCATGCAGGAATTTGTTGGGGCCCTACATGACCATTTGTACAGGAGCAGCTGTTGTCATTGGAGATTTACCTCAGTGGAGTGCTCTGCTGTTTTGGAATTTTCTTCTTCACCCACCTCCAGAGCGGGGGTGGCTTTCAGGCAAGTTTGATGGGGATGGCAGCAATCGTCCCTCCCAGCCAGCAGCAAGAATGTCCTGTTGTATGTGTACAGTTCTTTGCATACTTCTTGGCTCTGAGACAATGAACAGCCTGCTGCAAGCCTCTGATGAAGCTTGAACCCTTTGCGTGGATTCTGTGGGAAAGTGAATGTGTCTCTCTATAAGATTGGCATTCTGTCATGTTTGGAATTCATGCAGTCAAGTCTGCTGGAATGGTTCAATTCATCCAGCAATAGACCCCTCCACATGAAGTGCATGAGTTCACTTGCCTCAGGGAGCTCTGCCCATTGCCTGGTATTCTGCTGCTGTGCCCCACGAGGTACCTCCTGAGGCCAGAGAGCAATGTCGATGGTGCAGCATTGTGCTTGTCTTCCCTCCTTTCATGGAGGATTATATATGGCTGCATACCACTAACTTTACACATGCTACATCCCTCTGACCTGGTATTCGTGTTGGCAAAGTGTCAGCTGGTCAGATGTGACAGTGCTCCCTTGGTCATCTCTTCTTTCTGTTGCCCAAGTTAGAAATTGTCCAAGGTGAGGGTGGGGGTGCTGTTTAGGTGAGCGTGTGCCGACTGGATCGGTGTGGCACACCAAAGGAAGCAATTTGAGTAAGGCATTGACATTTTGGCAGTGTGTATGGATCCAGGCCATTACTTTCAATCCTCCTAATGGAGTAATTAGGCATAATCCAACCCTTGCACTCCCCTTTGAACCAACTCTTCTTTTGCTTGGTGCACCAACAACATCACTTCCAACTCTGACACCCTTAACAACATGTGTCTAATGCCTCCATTAGTACCTGTGACCTCCATCTCTGTTAATGAACTTAGC